CCCAAACAAATGCGCACCCACCCCGCCTGCACCACGGTCTGATGCGCTCCTCCACCGGGGCGTGAGGCAGCAGGCAGAGCTCGGGCCCCCGCGGACCCTCGGGGCGAGCCGGCAGTGGAGCGTCCGGTCTCCGAGCGCCCGCCCCGCCCGGGCCTCGCCCGCCCAGATTGCAGGGCCGTGCGGAAGTGCGGGCGGCGGGGCGCGCGCTCTAGAGGCAGAGGTGCTCTGAGGCCACCCTGCTGCGGCGCCGGGCCCGCGCCTTCCAGGGAATCCTAGAGGAATCATGGGGGCAGCGAGCGGGAGGCGAGGGAAGGCCTGCGGCGGCTCCGGAGGCCCGACCCCGGGGCCACTCGATGCATCCCTATTGTGCGCCAAGCTGGTCCTGAGGTTGGTTGTTTTCCCAGACAAGCTTGATGGCATGGAAGGATTGAGCCGGTAGGCAGGAAACACTGGAGAATTTCGGAAGGATTCCAGTGGGAGCGAGATGGGGTCCCTAGCAGGAAGGGTGCATGTGGCTGCTCTGTGCACTCTTTATCACAAACTTTCAGGGTTCGAGAGAACATTGGCAGAAGCTGGGGCCTGGCCCCGTGCCTCTCGGAGGCCCCTGTGGGGCTCAGGCTCCCGGGCGGAGCTCCAGGAGAGCCTGATGTTTGTGGGCTGAGTCGGAGCCCCGTGTGTCTTGTCCTGCATGAAGGTCTATTCTGGGGTTAGGGTAGGGTCAAAGGGGGGGCCCTTTGCAGGGAGGTTCAGCTCAGTGACTGGTGGGAGTCATGGCAGTGGGCCTGGGCAGCAGCATCCTGTCCTGGCCCAGGAGCTCATGAGTCCTTAGAGGTGATCCACTCAGGCCCTGCCACGTGGGTCTGGGGGCAGCTAGGTCACCCATGCACAACCCCCAGGGGAGATGGGAGCCAGGCAGCCAGTGGTGGAGGGTGGCTTCCTGGGGAGGGGGTGCCTAGTGGCCTTGTTTCTCTCCATTGGGTCCCTGAGGAGCAGGGTTCTGGTGCCCACTCAGTCCTGGGTGTCTTGTCTGGGTGGGGCCTTGCACTGCCTCCCTCCCCGCCCCTTCCGCCTGGCTCCCCTGAGGTGGGCAGGGATGTGGCTCCTTTCTGAGTTGCAGGAACCGGTCCTTTAGGCACTCTGCCCCTTGGGGACATGCTGGCTGCAGCAGGAGCCCCCGTCTTGCTTGAGGAGCAGCCTGCCGAGGGGCCGGAGGCCTGGCATGGAGTGGTGGGCTTGCAGCTTTGCGCAGACTGCCACAGCTCCGCTCACCCCCAGGCATCCCAGACTAGGAGCAGCATGGCCGAGCAGGAGCCTACCGCCGAGCAGCTGGCGCAGATCGCAGCGGAGAACGAAGAGGCTGAGCACTCCGTCAACTACAAGCCGCCGGCCCAGAAGAGCATCCAGGAGATCCAGGAGCTGGACAAGGACGACGAGAGCCTGCGCAAGTACAAGGAGGCTCTGCTGGGGCGCGTGGCCGTCTCCACTGGTGAGGCCCTGCTCCTCAGGCAGCCCGCTTCTGGGTTTAGCCGCTGCTTCCTGGTGGGGGCCAGGGGCTGGGGCACTGACTTTCTGTCCATCCCCAGACCCCAACGTCCCCAACGTCGTTGTGACCCGCCTGACCCTGGTGTGCAGCACTGCCCTAGGCCCCCTGGAGCTAGACCTGACAGGTGCGTGGCAGCCAGGGTCCCTGGGTGAGGCTGGCGGCACACTGTTGCATCCCGTGAGCACTGGCGCCCTCTGGTGGGGAGCTCAGGCTGCAACCAGATGGTCCTTGAAGGGTTTTGGTTCCGGAGTAGCCTGGAGAGGATTGGGGTGTCTGCTGCGGGGCGTGTGTGTCTGTATGCTGGCGTGCATGCATGTACCCCCATGTGTGTGGAGGAATGAGGCTGCCGTGGGTCTCAGGTGACCGGCTGAGCTGTGAATCTCTCTGAGCCCTTTGTCCACGGACGTAGAGGGGGTTGGGGTGTCTGCTGTGGGGCACGTGTGTGTCCCCGTGCGTATGGAGGGACGAGGCCGCCGCGGGTCTGAGGTGACAGAGTGAGCTGTGAACTTGTCTGAGTCTCCATCCACAGGAGACCTGGAGAGCTTCAAGAAGCAGTCCTTCTCGCTGAAGGAGGGTGTGGAATACCGGATAAAAATCTCCTTCCGGGTAAGGCAGGTGTGGGCTGCTGGGAGGGGCTGTTAGGGGGGCCGGGCTGAAGCGTGGCGCTGACCCAGCTGCTGTCCCACAGGTGAACAGAGAGATTGTGTCCGGCCTGAAGTACATCCAGCAGACCTATAGGAAAAATGTCAAGAGTGAGTGCACCTGGGCTCAGGCCGCCTGGGCGGGCCTCCATGCTCCGGGCAGCCAGTCCAACCCAGTGGGTCGGGAGGGGTGGTAGGAGGCAGGGTGGTGTTGACGAGGGCCCCTGTGTCTGTAGTTGACAAGACCGAATACATGGTGGGCAGCTACGGGCCGCGGGCCGAGGAGTACGAGTTCCTGACGCCCATGGAGGAGGCGCCCAAGGGCATGCTGGCGCGGGGCAACTACAGCATCAAGTCCCGCTTCACAGATGATGATAAGACAGACCACCTGTCCTGGGAGTGGAACCTCACCATCAAGAAGGAGTGGAAGGACTGAGTCCCGGCCGGGAGGCGGACAGGGAGGGACGGACGGACGTACCCCCACCCCACCCCCATCCTCCTCCCGACCCCATACCAAAGTGCTGACAGGGCCCCTGGCCTGCCTCCCAGCCCGGCCAGCCCCCCACCCTGCATCCCAGCCCCCTCCTGCAGGCCCCAGCCTCCGCTGTGGTCATCGTGGTCAGCGTCTTGTTGCTGCTTCTGCCTGTGCTGTGGGCCAGGCGGCCCAGGCCACACTTCCCTTTCTGTACCCAGGTTCCTGCCAGCTTTCTGGCCGGAGGGTGGTATGGGGTGTCACAGGTGCTCAGTGCCCCTCTGAGCCCCTGCGGGTGCCCCGGCTGTCTCCCGCCTCTCCCCCAGCCCCCGGGACCTGGTCGCCCCCCCGTTGCTGTCAGTCACCGTGTAACCATGATGCCTTAACGTGTGGAGTGCGTGCGGGGCCGTCACTAACCTCTTACCCGGTGTCTGCATGAGCATGTGGTCCCCGTCCCGTCTGTGACCCCGAGACCCAGAGGTGTCGGGCGTGCTGCTGCTGCTCCCGGCCCAGGGCTGTGGAGACGGCTCCACGGCTTGGGGAAAGCCAGATTGCCAAACTCAAGCTGCCCCCGGTCCCGCCCCAGGAGGGCTGGGTGGCCTCACCTCGGCCACCTCCTGAACTCACCCACCGCCACCAAACAGCCCCTCGACAGACAAAGCCAGTGGCCAAGCCTTACCTGGCCCACCTGGCCTGGCCGGAGCCGCGTGCCTGGCCTGTCAGTATTTATTGTCTTCATTTGTGCTGTCCTCTGGGTCCGCCCTGGCCTGCCTTCTGCCACCTCTACCCCGCTCTCGGGGCCACCACCCATGGGCAGGCCCCCTTCCCCCCGGACCCAGCCAGGACAGACAGGGACCAAGCACAGAGTTGGAAGCCGTCTCCTGTGCCCCTCTGCCCCCTTCCCCCGGTCGTGGCGTCCTGTCTGCTGGGCCTTCGGCATCTGAGACAGCAGAGGGCCCGTCCCTGCTTCCCCCTCTGACCGGGAATAAACTCCTCCAAAGGAGCCAGTGTCCCTCACTTCTGTGTCTCCAGGTGGGGAGGGGTTGGGGCGGGGTCGGGGAGGAGGTGGCTGCTCCTGCTGGCTGCGGCCACTAGGGGCAGTCAGCCAGTGGAGTGCCCTCTGTCCGGCTCCCAGCCTCACCTCTGGTGTTTGACCAGAAATACACTGAAAATCCCATTCCTCAGTCACGCTTGTCACCATTCAGGTGCTTGACAGCCACGTATGGCTGGTGGCTGCTATGTAGAATAGTGCGGGTCTAGAACATTACATCCTTGCGGGAATTTGTGGATGGTGCTGTCCTGGGCCGCTGAGGCTCAGAAAAGGCTGCAGGAGGAGGGGATCGTGGTTGCTCTGTTCTCAGTCACTCCAGCTCTGCTTGCCCAGCGTCAGCCGTGCTGCTTAGCAGTTGTGTTTACTGGGTGAGGCCTGAGACCTAGCTGGGCCCACAGGCCTCGGAGGTTTGCTCTCAGGTTTTTCCAGCCTCGGATACGTGAACTCAGACCCTGAGTGCTGAGCCGCACCAGCATGCTGCCAAGAGCCAGGACTTTGTCCCGGCCTTGCCACTAGCACCTGCATGACGTGTCCCTGGTCCCAAGTCCAACCCGACCCACTCTGCCTGATGTGCAGCCTGGCCTCCCGTCCAGCTAGCGCCTCAGCTGGCCCCACCCACCTCTCCCTCCATCCCCAGCTTCCTCCTCCTCCGCCCTTTCATGGAGCCAGTCAGGAGGATCTATCGATGTGGCCAATTAATTAGCAGTCCTAAGATTTGGAATTTACAAGTCTTCTGGTGCCCAGCTTCGTCCTGTGTCCAGGAGGACGGCATGCTAACCACCTTGATGCTCTAGCCGCATTCCTGGCATGGCCACACAGGGCTGCTTGAAGCAGGAACTTGGAGAAGGGGCCTGTCTTCCAGTGCAGCTGAGCCCCTCCTGGTGTCCCCAGCCTGTCAGCTCACCCACCCCTACTGCAGCGCAGGCTGAACAGAACTCCATTTTGGGAGCGGGGGCCGTGAAAACATTTGATTCCTTCCTGGGCACCTTCTTCAGCATGGGACACCCTGGAGAGCATCCTGAGCAGTTGGGACGGGGCAGAGACTCAGCATGGGGACCCCGCAGCCCCCGCACCCCGGGCGTCACCTAGCACTGCACCATTCCACACTCAACGGCCATGAGGAAGCCAGAGCAAGCCAGCCCCGTGGGGCTGCCAGGCCTACAGAGGCGGTCAGCCAGCAGGGCCAGCCTTCTGGGGGGCTAGATGCACTGCCCGGCAAGGTTGGAGATCTCATACATGTACCCCAGAGCAGGCCTCCCTGCAGATTCCCAGCCCAGCTTTGCTGCATCTGCACGGTTGGTGGAGAGGCCCACTGAGGAGAGGCATCAGCGACACCCAGACCTGTCCCCCAGGGCCCTGGGCAGGTGCCCAAGGTCACAGTGTCCACCTGACCACGGCTCACTGACGGTGCAGGGGGGCTTCAGGACAACTGTCCTGCCCTGCTACCCTTGCCGCCCTGCCACCTGCCTGGAAGTGTCCCCCCAACACCATGCTCAGCCTCTGCCGCCCAGCCCAGAGCCAGCCAGGCCGGGCTCAGCCATACAAACAACTCAGCTCCCCGTCTGCCCGTGTCCGGGTGTCCTTGGAGCTGACGTCCTAACCTTTGGTGAACATTCATCCTTTACAAACACGTCGCCGTGCTTTTCTGGAGCCAAGCTGCCTGTCAACCGTCACGACGCTATGGTACCTCTAACTTCTCCACTCTCTTCCCATCAGCCCACACAATGCTGGCCCCGATATTCTGGCATCTAAACTCTGGCTTTGTGAGGATCTTTTACCCCTACAGGTGGCACAAGCATCCTTTGTCTCAGGCCCTAAATCGTGGTTTGCAGACAGGGTGGTGACAGTCACACAGCATTGGGAGATACAGCAGCGGGCGAGAAGCCATCCCAGCTGTCCCCAAAGCAGTGACTGCTCACAACCATGATGACAAAGACGGCAGCCACTGAGCACCCTAGCCAGGGCCCTGGTCTTCGCCGAGAGGTCCAACTCCTGTAAAATCCCCGCTGCCAAGGCAGGCAGGTCTCCAGAGCAGGTAGAACCAACACCTGGCTGACTCTAGCTCTCCTGGCCCTGCGGAAGGTGGGGCAGAGGACTTGGTCTTGGCCTCAAGGAATTCACGTTCTCAGTGAGGAAGCACATGGAAAAGATGAGAAAACATGCTTCAAGAACAACATACCAATGAATGCAAACTCTCAAAAGTGCTGAAGCATCTTTCTATTTCACCACTTCTGAATCAGGATGTTCTCAGCCAACCTGTACATTGAACGTGGGAGTGTCTCCTTTTTTCCTGCCAAGGTATTACATCGATGCTAAGCCTAAAAGCCTGAGGTGGCGTTTCATCAGTGAGGAATGCATGCATGAACCGGGAGGGAGAACCCCTGGAAAGGGGTGGGGTGCAGTGGGCAGAGGGGGAAGACAATGGAGGCGGAAGGCTTTGAACCACACCAACAAAAATGTAATGTGAGCTCCATGTGTAATTTAAAATTGTCTAGTAGCCACCTTAAAAATAAGAACAAGTGATTAAAAGCCTGTGAGCGGCCATCTAAGATACTCCACTGGTCTCATCCCTTCAGGAGCAAGGGAGAATGAAGAGAACAGGATACAGGGAAAAGATTAGTCCGAAGGACTAATTGTCCACAGCTACCAAGGCCTCCACCGGACTGAGTCCAGTACAGCTAGATGGTGCCCGGCTACCACCACTGACTGCTCTGACCAGGATCACAACACAGGGTTCTGGACAGAGCTGGAGAAGGATGTAGAGCATAATTCTAACCCACAAAAAAAAAAAGACCAGACTTACTGGCCTAAAGGAGACTGGAGAAACCCCAAGAGTATGGCGCCCAGACACCCTTTTAGCTTAGTGGTGAAGTTACCTCCGAGGTTCACTTATCAGCCTGGGAGTGGACAGCCCCGTAAAACCAAATGAGACTAATGAGGTACAGGACTCCAGTGACAAGGGCCAGAAAGCAAAAGGGGAGAAGGAAGCTGGTGATAGGGAACCCAAGGTTGAGTGAGGATGTTGTTGATGTGTTGTGAGATTGTTAACCATTGTCATAGGGCAACATTTGTAGTAACTGTTAAATGAGAAACTATTTTGTTCTGTAAGCCTTCATCTTAAGTGAGAATAACAGCACAATTTGAAGAGCGTAGTCAATGTCACTGAACTGTGCATGTAGAAATTTTTGAAACGGTGTATCTTTGGCTATGTGTATTTTCACCAAAAAAAAAAAAAAGGTTGAGAAGTTAGAGGATTGATATGTTGTGGGGTCGTTATTAACCAATATCATAAACAACATGTATACTTCTGTTTCATGAGAAACTATTTGTTCTGTAAGCCTTCACCTGAAGTACAATAAAAAATAAATAAAAACCAGTGACATTAATTTCAGATGTATTTTATTTAACAATATATACAAAATATTTTGAGACGTACTCAATATAAAACATTCTTTTTGAGCTCAGTCTCTGCGGTCTGGTGTGTATTTTACACTCACAGCACTTTCTCGGACTTGCCATATTCCAAGTGCTCAGCAGCCTCAGTGACAGCGAGTGACAGAGCAGGACTGGACAAAGACTTGTCCCACCCTCCACCTTCTGAGGAAACGGTTGAGATTCACTCCACAGCTGTGTAGGGGCTGGGACGCCTTTGAGGCCGCTGCCAGGGCACCTGAGAAGCATCACAGGGAGGGAACGCTTCCTAAGATCTGGCCGCGAGTGGGACAGGAGGGAGAAACACAGGCACATGGGGGGGAAGGGCCACTCCTTGGGGGCCGTTTACCCGGGACCGCCTCAGCACAGTTCAGTGACCCCCCAGGCGGGCCTTTCCAGCGCCCTGTGCTCGGTTTCAGCCCTGGGCACCGGCAGGTCACCTTGGTGTCCGTCCTCCAGCTGTAACATCCACAACATAACAGCCCAGCCTGGCTTCCCAACCTGTCTCCCTCCCTCCACCTGCCCTTCCTGTGAGCTGCCCGCTGCCACGTCCTGGGTCTACTCAGAGATTTCCCAAGTCCAACCCTTCCACCCAAGTTCTGGAGCACGTGTGGTGCAGACGGTTAACGAGCCCCGCTGTTAACTGGAGGGTACCTCGAAAGAAAGGCCTGGCAACCTATTTTCGAAAAATCAGCCAGGAAAACCCTATGGAGCACAGATACACTCAGACATGGGGTCGGGTGAGTCTGGATGCCCTGAACAGCAATTGGTTAAAAGCCCCACTTCCAGGCCCAGACACGACGGCACCTCCCCCGAGCCTTCCCGTCCAGCCTGTGAACTCCCCGCGCCCTGGCGGCTGCTCCGGAGGCCGGGCCACGCGTCCACGGCGCGGAGGGTACTTCCCGAGCTCATGGGGCTCCCAGGGCCTGTGTGCGGCCCCAAAGAACCCAGCCGCCCATCTGTCCCGGTTCCGGGCGCACGGGCAACACGCTCCCGGAAGTTACTTCACTCCAGCTTTCGGCCCGCGGGCCAGGGGGAGGTGCCAGTTACGGATACGCGGTCCAGTCAGAATCCAACACGAGGGGCTTCGGAGGCGCAGGCGCGGCCCCGCCCCCGAGCAGGGGTCCCGCCCCACTGCCACGTTTGACGGAGGGATGTGCAGGGTGCGCGCATCTCTCGGCCAATAGGAGCTGCAGATCCCGGGCTTCCGAAGGACGCAGCTATTCCCGACTGGTGGAAGGTGCGGGAGAAAGCCGCCAGTCAGAAGTCGAGGGAGAGAAAGTTCTCCTCCGGAAGCCAATGAGAGTCCGGGAAAGAGCGCGAGGGCAAGCCCTCCGACCAATCCCGGGAGAGGGCGAGGTCGTCCCCCAGTGCGATTCCGAATCCGGGGCCGGGTCTGGCATGGGCATCCAGTCCGAGTGCGGCGGAGGCGGGCCCCGGGCTGCGCC